AGTTGTTGTTCTGTACAGTGATGTTGTTGTTGGTGGAGGTAGGAGTGGCGGACGAGGGAGACTTGCTGGCGCTGGATGGAGCTGCTGCGGAGGACGATGCAGTCGCTGGTATCGAGGCTGTAGAAGTTGTTGTTGATGTTGATGACGATGTCGAGGTGGATGTTGCGGAGTTTGGTGTGATCACTTCAATCGTTACTGTCGTGGTCACTTGTGTGATTGGAGACTGTGTAGGAGACTGTTTTCCCTTCTTCTTTGTCTGTTTGGTTGTTGTTGGTTGTTGTTGTTGTGGAGCCGATGATGATGGGCTCTGCTTCTTTGTGTCCTGCTTCTTTGAATGATGAGTCAAACTATCGGTCTGTTGTTGCTGTTGTATTGACTCATGTTGCTGTTGTTGTTGTTGTCCATATACATTATCGTTATCGATCTTTACAACACCGGGTTTAGAGTGTTGTTGTTGATGTTGATGTTGTTGTAGAGAGATGATCGAAAAGTTGTTGGGAAGTATTGGTGAGGCTGATGTTGGTAACTCCTCCCAATACTGAGGGGAGAATGTGCCAAAGTTGACACTAAGTATTGAATCTATCGTTGATGATGATGATATTGATGATGAAGATGATGATGATGTCGTTGATGTCGTTGTCGTTGGTTGTACTGCTGCTATCGTCTCATTAGACGATATTTGATTGATATTATTACTACTACTACTGCTGCTGCTATTAATATTATTATTACTACTATTATCGTTGTTATAAACATTATTTATATCTCTGTTGCTACCTCCTCCTCCTCCTCCTCTATTGCTGCTACTGCTATTGTTGTTGGTTATGTGTTGATGATTTTGATGATGAGGAGGTGGAATATAGGCTTCATAAGGATTCGGATAGGGATAGCTGTATGATGGATGTGGATAATGAGGCGGAGGGTATCCATAGAAAGGTTGTGGGAAAAAGCCTTGATAGCTCTCTACATAGTAAGGTTGTTGTTGATGATGTTGTTGTTGTTGTTGATGTTGCATAATATCGATGACTGCGTCGTTGTTGTTATTGTTTCTGTTATTGATATCTATTCCTCCGTTATGAGTATGTTTGTTATTGTCAAACTCATTGTTACTGCTGCTATATGTATTATTATTATTGTTGCTATTGTTGCTGTTGTTGTTGCTGTTGTTGCTATTATTCGCTATCTTATACTTTGTGAATAAACCGTTCGTCGGTGGTGCAGAATGATTGTGTATGCTATGTTGTTGAGAAGATGATGTTGATGTTGTAGTGCTCACTGGAACTACTGCTGCTGGTAATGTTGATGAAGATGAAGATGAAGATGCAGATGAAGATATTGATTGTGAAGTTGATGAAGATGAAGAAGAGTTGTTTAAACTTTTCTTTGTGTTGTTGTTGTTGTTATTATTATTGTTGCTGTTTGGTGTTGTTGTTGTGGAGGACTTTTGCTCCTTGGTCTTGTGCTGTTCAACCATCTTTGATATCATTGATGACTAAATCATAACATCAGCTAGAGAGTAGTATAATGTGTGTGTGTATATATATATTATCTTGATATATTATATTATATTGATGATGATGATGATGATGAAGTATTATATTGTATTATATTAATTGTGTTTGTTTGTTTGTTTGTGTGAAGATTATGATGATGATAATGTGGTTGAATAAGTTGAAGTCTGCACAGATTGTCTTTGTGTTTGTGTGTCTCAAAGAGAGTTGTAAAAAATTATAATCATTTTATTTTCTTCATTCTTATGGATGAATGAATGATGTTCAAAGTGTTGGGCTGTCTGTCATTCTTTCAACAACATGGATATTTATCTTGAGGTATGTCTACATAACATGTTGGGAAGTTACTCATACTTACTTATGTATGTGTATGATATCAGTTGTTGGTAGATAAATAGAGTTACCATAATATCTGTGTTGTTGTCTACAAACTTTGTTTTCTTTTTTATTGACAAGAAGAGAAATCATGATGAAAGAACGAGATAGATAGAGATAGATAGAGAGATAGTGATAAATAGATCAAAAGATGGGATACAGAGGAAGAGGCAACATTCCAAAGACAACAGCTTCGATGTATGGGCTGACCTACAACACAAAGAGAGAGTACAGGTTCATTAATGAGGTGGTGAGATCTCTGTCAGTGGGCGGCACCTATGGCGCCAGAAGCACGGTAAAGCTAAGGATTAATGCAATGGCCAAAGAGGCACTGGTATCATTCATTCGCGATTTGGCCCACAGAATCATCGATCAATCAAGAGACAGGTCGGGCAAGGCAACACTGCAGGCACGCGACATCGAGACGGCCGTCAGTATCGAATTGGGAGGGGGCGAACTTATGATACATTCTATCGTGCTAGGCAGGTCGGCTGTAACCAATGCTAACCCTAGCAAAGCCAATGGTGAGAATAAGCCACCAGCCAATAAGCTCATGGTCGCGCCAAGCTATGTTCGCAAACAACTCAAGATTGCTGGATTCGGTCGAGTGGCAAAGATGGCCTCATTGTACCTTGCTGCCGTTCTCGAGTATCTCATCGTTGAAGTGGTGGAGCTTTCCGGAGAGAATGCCAAGAGCTGTGGAAAGACTGTACGTATTGCCTCGCCTCCTTTCTCGATAGACAGGTTGGGTTGGTCATTTCATAATACTTTATCTAACAACAATCAAATTCATTCAATCAATCAGACAATCATTCACCAAGTCCACTCCTCCTTGTATCTCTATAATAATGTATACGATTATATCATATCGGAAAGGAGGTATTGGTCCCTAACAAATAAGGACCACATCTGTTAAGATGCCCAAAAATAGATATTTTAGTTATAACTTTGGATCAAGATATTTGATCAGACACGGTCAAGTCTTCAGACTATTCCAAATACACTAATGATGGGTGATCCACATCCTATGTTACCACTGCAAAAATTAAGTAGGTAGATCTTTTAAGGTATGTATGATATGATCACACCTTAACTTTCTGATTAGTGATTGGTTGCGAAGGACACTGACAAGTTAGTATCTTCCTTCTCACTCTTAATATCTATCTTTATATATTTATAACTCATACATTATTATCTCAATGACCAGCAACAATAGGAATATATTATTATTGATGTTGTTGTTGATAACAACTTTACTTTGTCATTGGGTCAAAGCAAGTGATACTGCAGTGTTCACAAACCCTGCCAATGGACACAACTATCAGTTCATTAATGTAACAACCAATTGGACTGAGGCCAATAGATTGGCAGGTCTAAAGAATGGGTAAATATCTAGTCTTTGGTACTACTCCATCATAAAATATTAATACCTACTCTTCTGTCATAGTTACCTGGCAACAATAACAACTCAAGATGAGTACAAGTTCATCATTGAGAATGTTATAAGTATGTATGGCCCTTTGGGACAGGTCACATGATATCCGATCACCTGATTCAATCGATCACGTGATCAAAAATAATAATATGGATGACTAACCAAACTCCAACAAACAACATAACAAGACAATGTGATGTTTATTTGGATTGGTGGAAGAGCTCGTCCAACTGCAGTGGACTATAGTATGTTTGAATGGGCAACTGGTCCGGAGAAGGGACTGTCACTGTATGACAGGAATGTTAGCAAATGTCATGGCTTTTGTAGGTTCATGACATATCAGCCTGATGGCCATCGCTACGACTCAATCCACATCTGGGCAAACAATTCTTGGGATGACTGGTTCGATTCGGAGACAACATTCGAGGGCACCATCCAAGGCTACCTGCTCGAAACTGGCGGTGAATCCGACCCAGTGATCATCCCAGCAGACTGCCAACCGAGCGTGTTGAACATCACCAACCTAGTGCGCTTCAACACTGCCAACCTCACAGTAACCATCACAAACAGCACATTGAAACGCAGCCCTTTCCAATGCTCCGAGGTTAGTCACACCTCTACAACATTCGCTTGTCGAACACAATATATGGTGGGCGAGTATGACATCCTGATCACAGATGGAGTTACAACATACTCCTCGCGCAAGTACCATCCAAACTTGCCACTCATCACTTCGATGTTCCCCAAGTACTTGCAGGGAGAGAGTGTCACTATAAGTGGTATCAACTTTGGTGACACGATCCAATGTATAGACTCGGTGACCATCAGTCGAACAGGATTGATTGGATGTATACCTGATGTGATGCTCATACCTGATCGAGCCTTTACCTGTAGACTCAATGAATCAATCATGACGGACATGGTCAATGGATATGTTGACAACTCCATGTTGCCAGTGACCATCTCAGTTGGAGGAATAGAGATGTACCAAGTGACCAGGATACCAACGTGTAAGTCATTCAATCAATCAATCAATCAAACACTAGCTCACTCATTCAATCTTCTGGCCACAATTCAAACAGACAATAGCTTAACCGATACATTGATAATGTTCTCAGCTGATGTGAATGAGTTTGTTTCCAGGACATCATATATGGCTGAAGGTGTACAAAGCCAATCCTACTCGCCAATCAAAATAGATGAGTTCTACTCTGTTCGAAACCTACACCTGGCTCCCTTCTATCATTACTTTGCCCAACAAGACCAATCAAGTATGTTGAACTCCAACAATCAATCAATCAATACTGACCATTTGTCAACAGATAGATACACACTCAGATCAGGACCATATCAAGGACAAGTCGTTGTCGATGGAAATGGACTGAATCAACAACTTCTCGGACCTTCGACGCCCCTAACCTTGGACCCACAAGTTGTCAACAGTCTTGGAATGAGTATGTATGGACATCTACCAATCAAACTATCTAAAGTACTCACTCTCCTACTCAATCACTCACTCATTCATAGACTTGACACATCAACTTGGATGGAGATCTGATACACTAGAGATGCGAGATGACCGGGCACAGGGTCATGACTATGCCATTGTTAGTTTCAACTTCTCCCGACCTCCTCCATTCTTCCTGGATACAAACATTGTAATTCCAACCACTGGTGGCTGGGCTGGCATCCGTCTGGCCAACATGCGTTACACAATCAGCAACTACACAATGTTGATGACCAATCGAACATTGCCAATCAATGTGGCATTCACTGAGAACTCGACAATTACCGCCACCTTCCCATCTGGCACCGGTATCAACAAACCATTGACTGTCTACGTTGACAAGATCAAGACAACAAACTTCGCCTTCCTCTCTTACCAAGCACCTGCATTGGTCAACATCACTGGTGTGTCGTACAATGGCAGCATTGCAACACTCTACGGTAGCAACTTTGGTTACAATCAATCATTGGTCAATGTAGTACTTCAGAACAGAACTCAGTTGCAGTTGATCCAGATGAACCAGTCGGCAACTGACACCACGGCAAGGTTAACATTCAACCTGCCTCCAGGTGATGGTATAAGTGATATTCATGTGGTTGTAGATGGCCAGGCGTCCAACTCTGTCAGGTTTGACTACCAACGTTGTCCAGACCTGTGTTCTGGAAATGGTCAATGCATCAGTGGAACGTGCAACTGTACATCAGGATATGGCGGTAGCAATTGCAACACAACTGTTACTCCATCGGGCGAGGTACCAAGCACCACTCCAACCAACTCAACAATTGGTGAGTTTGGCATCTTCTTCACTCACATCCGAGAGCTCGACTCGAATGATCAACCATTGATCACCATCCCCGTGAGCAATATTCAATGGAGCAACTCCATCACCAACAGGGCTACATCGACCAACACAACCAAGGGTACATTGGCCGCATTGCCAGGCTTCACTATCATTGTAACCAGTCAATACTTTAACAAGTCAACAGTGGTTGAGTTTGCTAACAAGTCAATACCGATCGATGCCAACAATGTCAAGGTGCAGACTGAGCTCAGGTCATGGCCATTCATCGCCAAGACCAACACACTCCAACTTGTGTACCAACTGCAGTCCCCAACTCAGAGTGACCGCTGCAACAAAAAAACAACTCAGACAAGTCAGGACTCAAACAACGTGCGTTACATTGACATCTTGGTTGGCGACCGTTTGTTTGTGACTCGCTTCACAAACTTCCTATTGGTGGATGGTCGCGTGACACTCAGCAACAACATTATACTCAAACCAAGTGACCCAATATTTCAACAGGACTATTATGTTGAACAACCAACACAAGTTCATGATCGAATCGTTGTGGCAATGGTATCGCCACACTTTGATAATGGTGCGATCTTGGATCCCAACTTTGGTATGTTGACAGCCATCAACAAGGCAGATGAGACTGATCAGTGCCAGGGCAAGTTCAAACTCTGGTGGATAGCAGTTATTATTGGAGGTGTAATTGCTCTAGCCTCAATCTGTATCGCCGTCTACTTAGTGTACAAGAAGAAATTCAGGTACAAACAGGAAGACAAGAAGATAGAGATGGTTGCCAACGTTAATAATTCAAATAGAAGATAATAATAAAGCTTCTTGTCGACCATTAAACGTGACCCCGGCAAAGAGGGGAGTCCACTGCTTTTAAAAAGTGCAAAAGAGTGCGCATGCCGAGAATCGAACTCGGATCGCTTCCGTGGCAGGGAAACATTCTACCATTGGACCACATGCGCCTATCAGAACCTGGAGCAATTTTGTCGACCTTTATGCGGATTTTTTTGGAACTTATTTTAATCATCCAGAGGACGAAAGTAGGCATTTAAACAAAAGGAACTTATTGTAATGAATCGTCCATAGTCATGGTTCGATTAGCAGAGGTTCTGGCGTAAATAGGTCGTCGGCAACATGGATTTGTAGACATGTCCCTTTTGCACAATGTCCCCTCTATGAGTATACTAGGCTACTCATTACACTTACATTGTTTTATTTATTTTTGACTAGAGTGGAAGTTTATTATTATTGCAAACTAGAGTTAATCGATTTTTTTTTTTTTTTTTTTTTTGACTAGAGTGGAAGTTTATTATTATTGCAAATAAATTGGCGTCATTGAAGAGGCGGGATAATATATATAAGTTAGTCGATTTTGAATTTTCTTGATTTTTTTCTTTCTTTTCTTTTCTACTGTAGGCCTCTGAATTCGGCCACCAAGTATTTGTTGATAGTTGG